CTCCAAGGCCACTTTCCCTAGGCTCCCTCCCGGCCCCCCCTAGCTCCTCGCCTCAGACTCCCTCCCCCCTCACTCCCGCCCTCTGCCTTCGCCTACCAAAGTGGATTAATTATACGCTTTCTGTTTCTCTCCGTGCTGTTCTCTCCCGCTGTGAGCCTGCCCGCCTCTTGCTGTCCTCTCTCCCTCTTGCCCTCTCTTTGCACCCCCCTTTTCACGTTCACTCTGTCTCTCTCACTATCTCTGCCCCCCTCTATCCTTGGTACAACAGCTGACCTCATTTCCCGATACCCTTTCCCCCCCTAAAAGTACAACATCTGGCCCGCCCCAGCCCCGAAGACAGCCCGTCCTCCCTAAAGAAGCAGAAGAGTCCCCCCCCCAAAAATAAGCCATCCCCCCGTTCTGCCCCGTCGCACATTCGGCCCCTGCGACCCGGCCAGAGCGGCGCTGGCAGAGGAGTGTCCGGCAGGAGGGCCAACGCCCGCTGTTCGGTTTGCGATAACGCAGCAGGGAGGTGGGCGGCATCATCGCCGGCTTCCAGGTAAGCGGCGCTGACCTGCGGGGCAGGGTGGGCAGGCAGGCGCGCTGGACGCCTAGCTCTTCTCGGACGGGCGGGCTGGGCCGGGAAAGGGCTGGGGGCTGGGGTCAGGTTCCCTCCGCGTACCCCCTCGCTCTCCTTTGCGCGGTAGTGAGAGGGGGAGGGGACGTTGGGAAGCGACCGGGAGGTGTGTGCAGCCTGCACGGACGACTTCCTGGTCGGTTTTTTGGGGCGGTGGGGTGACGGTGTTTCTGAAAACGTGCGATTTGTGCCGTGCGGGCAGTCCCCCTAGGGTGTTGGGTAATGAGGAGGGGGGCAGTCTTGGAAGCCCACCCTGGTATGTTGACTTGGTGCCAGCTAGAAGGAGAAAGGAAGACGGGGTGGGCGGGGCCAGGAGGGGGGCCGAGTTGGCAAAAGAGTAATGCCAGACGCCACATTTGCAATATATTTCTCCCCCACCCCCTATCTCTCCCCAGTTCCCCACATTTCTAACCAGGAATCTGGGGAGAGGGGCTGTTCTGAGGTTCAGAAGGACCTGGAGAGGGGGTAGCTGCCTTGCCCTTGGCAGCATGGAAGTTTCCATACAAGGGGGTGAAAAGAAGCCCCCCCCCGCCCCCTATCGCCTTGACAGAGATGGACTGGGGGTGCAGGATGAGCCCCCCATGGTACTTTGCTAAGGGATGGGGTAGGGTGGAGCCGGGGCTGGGAGGAGCCGACTCAGACATAAAAGCGGAGGCACTGACCAGCTTGCAAACTGGACATTAACTTCTCCTGTGAGAGACACCTCCAGCTTCCACCTACTTCTCCTCCTCCTCCTGCAGCCCCAGCGAGCCTTCTGTCCAGCCGAGGTAACCGGGGCTGTGGAGTAAGGACCCAGCTGCCATCCTGCTTCGGCCTGCCTGGTTGCTGAGGGCAACGGCCGAGCCTTGGGCCTGCGCCCCTGCAGCCCGGCCTGCGGCCTCAGCGTCCTGCTTCTCCCCTGGGCCTCCGCCAGCTTCCACCTGGTTCCCTGGCTCCTTCACCTGCTCCTCTTCTCTCCCTTCTCCTCTTCCTCCCTCCGCAGCAGCTTCAGGGTTTCTCCTGGGTCTTCACCTGTCTGGTACCTCCACATGCCTCCTGGCCATCCCCTGCTTTCTGCTGGAACCCTGGGCTGAACCTGGAGCTAGAGTGGTGGGATTTGTGGAAGGGATCCTGGGGGGCTGCAGATGGAGACTTGCACTGACTGCAGCAGAGTGGCTAGCGCGCTGGGTTTGCTCCCAGGATTTGGAAGGGGCAGCAGAGGGGCGGTGGGGAAATTTAGTCCTGTTGAATAGGTAGGACAGGTGGTTCTTGGATCTTTTCATGAAGCTGGCTGTGGCTTGTTGAGGACTTGAGTAAGATTATGCCTTTCTTATGCCCCGCTCCATCTCACGTGATTTATTGCATGAGCCTGTAGAAAGACTAGGGCTGCCAGCCTGGAGGACTCCATCTTCTGTAGGGTCAGGGTAGGCTGCTTGTAATTCAGGTCTCCCATACCTAAAAGAGTTGATTAACGGTTGCCCCAGCTGGCCCTTCAGCCACGTGGCCTGATATGGGGTGTGTTCTACAGAGAGCAGCCCCTCCAGACTGGGCCTGGAGAACGTGGTACTGGGCCTCTCGGGTGGTCTGACCTGACCTGGTCTCTCCAGCTCCTTCTGAGGTGCATGAGACCCTGGGACGACAGGGGAAATGGTTGTGGAGTTGTGGAAGGACTCTGAAGTCTCTGGCCTTGGGTGGTGTGATTTGAGGCCTGGAAAGGGGGCTTCTGTGAATTTTGGTGTGCCCAGGGCAGACTAGACTGGGAGGGCTGGGAGATTCTGGAGAGCAAGGCCCCTGGAAGTGTGGATACCACAGTTGTACTAACCATTGGACCTTTGCTCACAAAGGCTGCAGGGGAAAGGCTGGCCCAGCAGGATTCTCCTGCTTGCTGGGGGCGGGGTGCATGGGGGGTGGGGGGCGGTGGTCCTCCTGGACCTCCCTGCCCAGCTGGGGTTGTAGAGGCCAGGGACTGGTCCTCTTGGAAGCACATGGTCTGCATGGGTGGAGCTATTTGCCATCTTGGCGACTGCTTGGAAGTCCCAACAGTGGTAACTGTGCCCTTGATCTGGCCCTGCCCCCATTATGTCACAGGAGGGAGACCAGTCCAGTGTCCAGCACTGGCCCCTTGGCTGTGGGTGTGACTCTGCTCCTGGTGGTCCACATGTAAAATTGCTAGCATATCTTGCAACTTAAAGCTACAGAGCACCTTGCATAGCTCCTCAACCTGTATCCGTTCTCCAGTGGCACCGTGGCCTTAGCAATTCAACGTGTGCACTTTTTTTTCTTAATAAAAATTAAGAAGGAAGCTGGGCTTTTAAATTTCATTTGAATTGTAGAATAGGAGATGGCTGAGAACCTGGGGTTGGGGGGGGGTCTCCTGGAAACAGGGGTGCTGCCGAGCCCCAGCTCAGGCAGGGCTATCTCTGTCTCTTCCAGATACCAATGGGGATTTCAATGGGGAAGTCGATGTTGGTGCTACTCACCTTCTTGGCCTTCGCCTCGTGCTGCATTGCTGCTTACCGCCCCAGTGAGACCCTGTGCGGCGGGGAGCTGGTGGACACCCTCCAGTTTGTCTGTGGGGACCGCGGCTTCTACTTCAGTAAGTAACTTGGGGGGCGGGGCAAGGGAGAGGCGTGTACACAGCAGGTACTCATCAGTGTTGGGTTAGACTTCCTGGGGTGGCCTTATACTGGGTCAGGGAATGCTCAGAGCCCACACCTGAGGCTTGGAGTAGATAGGGTCTCCAGCAGGGATTTACTGAGCACTCACAGTGCCTGGCATGCAGTGGGCAGGGGGCCAAGGCCTCAGTGGACCAACAGGATTTCCACAGGGGGGTGGGTCTGAGTTCCTGCTGTGGTGGGCTCAAGTTCCTGTTGCCAAGACACCATGCCTCTTGAGCAGCACTGTGGGCTCTGACTTTCTTCCTGCACTGTCAGGACATATTGGCAAGGGGCACGTGTTCATGGATGATAAGATTTAAAATTTGATTGACTGAAGGTCAATCAAAGTAAAAGCAAACGTAGTTAGCAGGTAGCAGGGCTGAGTGGGGACGTGCAGCCTTGGGGAAGGGGAGGAGAGCCAGGCCCTTGCCATCAGAACTCCACCCACGGGGGAGGTGTTTGGGGTCTTGACTGCAATGTGGGATACCTACCTACCTGCTTTGACTGTTTCTCATGATTCTCTCTTGATCTTCCAGCCTGGGGGGGCTGGGATGGGCTCATTGCTGCCAGAGAGGGGAGCTAGAGGGACATGCCCAGGTGGGGTTGGAGGAGGAGGGGCTTCAGGAAGTGACTTCTCTTGCTGGCATGTACTTCCTTGTCTCCTCTACCCGATACCCACGTGGCCTCCTCCTCTGCAGCCTCTACTTACACGTCTGTGATACGGGCTCACAGGATGTACCTACATTTCTGACTGCTCTCTGCAAAGTACTCCTGCTGCTGGATGCTCTGAAGCCCTTGCTGCCCTGGCCTCTCTTGTGTTCTCCCTCTCAGCTGCCTCCTGGGGGGAGGGGTAGGACGTGGCACTGCAGGCCCTGGTGCTGCTGGTCCTTGCTGAGGGAGTTGCTCCTCTGCACTGGGCTTCCCTAAGAGAGCTGGGCCACGCCCACTAGTGGGACCCCGGGCTGGGGATCCCTATCCCTCCTCGATGACACCTGCCCTTTGGTGCCCAAAAACTTGAAGCTCCCAGTGACTTTCCTTCCAGCCAAGCCTCAGACCTGAGTGCCGTGGGGGAGAGGAGAAAGACGGGAGAAGAGAAGGGAGTGGTTAATGCGACTCCTCACTCCTCCCCTCCCGTCTTGTTCTCTCCTGCCCGATCCTCCCTGTCTCAGCGCTCGGGGACATGGGCCCCACCTATGTTCCAGACCACCTCCAACACAGGCCCCGGGAATTCACATCCGAGGCACCAGAGGCCAAGGGCTGGTTCTGCAGCATGCCCCTTCCATCTCTGTCCTTTCTGGGCTCTTCTGCCTGCCCCACAGGGTCACTGGGTACCTATCCAGGGCCTAGCCTGGGCAGCCTCCCTAGAGTGGCTTCGATGGGCACTGACTGACTCTTTCCCCTGGGATTTCCAGGCAGACCCGCAAGCCGTGTGAGCCGTCGCAGCCGTGGCATTGTTGAAGAGTGCTGCTTCCGCAGCTGCGACCTGGCCCTTCTGGAGACTTACTGTGCCACCCCCGCCAAGTCCGAGAGGGACGTGTCGTCCTCTCCGACCGTGCTTCCGGTGAGGCCCTGGACCTTTTTCCTCTTCCTAGAAATGAGGGATAGGATGTTAGGTGTGTCTCCTAGCCAGCTTTAGCTTGAAATACAATGGAAGACAGCCCCACATGTCCTTTTGGCCGGGGGCCTCCCTCCCTGTGGATGTTGACTCCATTGAATGGGCTGGCATGGTGTAAGTGTGGGTAAGGGTCTCCAGGTCACTGTGAGGTCTAGGCAGGTAGCTATGATCGCGGTGCCTATGAGCCTAACTGTTGATTACTGCCTTTTTCCCAGGACAATTTCCCCAGATACCCCGTGGGCAAGTTCTTCCAATATGACACCTGGAGACAGTCTACTCAGCGCCTGCGCAGAGGCCTGCCTGCCCTCCTGCGTGCCCGTCGGGGTCGTATGCTCTCCCGAGAGCTTAAAGCATTCAGAGAGGCCAAGTGTCATCATCCCCTGACCGTCCTGACCTCCAAAGACCCCGCCCACGGGGGTGATACCTCTTCGGAGAAGTCCAGCAACCAGAAGTGAGCCAAATTGTTGTAATTCTGCGATGTACACCATCTCATTCGTGACCTCCTCTTGACCAGGGGCATTTCCATCACGTCCCACCTCCAAGGTTTCTCTGTTGCACCCCAGAGTGTTTCCCTGACCCCAGCCCCTGTGCCCCGCCTCCCCACATCAGGCTGCTCTCTTGCCCCACTCCACCGGGCTGAGGGAGTCAGAGCAACATCTTCAAAGACAAAATCTATTAGATTTAAATATCCTCCACATACACCCTCTCGCAATTACCCCCCAAATTCTATACTCCATCAAAATAATTGGAAAGCAAATCTGTCTCTTACAGACACACTCCAGTCCCCTTAAAACTAATTGGCTTTTTAGAAACACTAATTAGCCTTAAAAAAACCCTAAAAAGTCAATTGGCTACAAAGATACTAAAAAGGAATTGGCTTAGAAACAATTGGAAAAATAAAGGGATTTGGCACACCCTTCCCCCTTCCTTCCCTCCTCAGACCTTGAGTCAATTGGCTTGGACTTGGGTCCCTGAATCAGCAGAAGGAAGGAAGGGGGCCCAGAAATTTGCAGGCCGGCATGCCAGTGCCTCTGCACCATCACCCTGCTCATCGCTTTTGAGCACTTTGGATGTTGGCTGCCTGAGAACAGCAGCCACCAGACTCATTCCTCACTCGTTCTTCATCACAAGATTTGTCAGGGAGCTGAGCGGAGGGACCCATTGAGATCGGAGGAGGGGAACAGCATGAAAACCCACATCCCTGAATATAAGGTTTAATTGGCACTAACCCCCACACCCTAAATTCGTACATCTTAGTCCCTGTCCTGGCAAGCACACATTTGTCCCTACAGCGCCCCCATAGCACATGCCCACAGGTACACATGCACCCACCCACCCTACATACTTGCACACATGTGCCCATACACACACACACACACACACACACACACACAATTGGATGAAAGCAATAAAAATAAGCAGTCCTTGCTTTTGACCCATTTCATGCAGGTCAGGCAGAGTTCCATCCCAAATTCCCTGAGCTGTTTTCATGGTCTGAGTTCCCATGAACCATCGTGCTCCCCAGACCCACGCCAGCATTGATACCCACCCAGAGTGAGGAATTAGTTTGGCCAGGTCAGAGATGGTGTTATGAAGCAAGGCATGCTTTGAAGTAGGCTGCCCCCGCCCCCCAGTGTGCTCCATTGAGAAAGACCTGGGGACCCCTGCCCTGAGCACCAGAGATCATCTTTGCCCTGATAGTGGGGAGTGTGGGAAGTCTGGCGGTTGGAGGGGTGGGTGGGGGGCA